GTGGAACGAGCGAGGTATGGGGGAAAGGGAAAGGGGAGAGGGGGAAGGGACACTCACGCTGATCAAACGGCGCCGCCTTCGTCCCATTCACCCACGGGTTCTCCAGCACGACGCTCTGCGTCCCGTTCTGCACGACCGTCGGGAAGTCCCCGCGCTGCCAGAAGGACTCGCTGATCTTGGTCTCGTAGACGTTCTTTAGGCGCGAGTCGACGTAGGTCCGGCTGTGTGTGTTGTGCGTTAGCACAATGCTCATACTCGTGGATAGAGAGGGAAGTGACGAGGAGGAAGGGACGAGGATGGGGACGACGGGGAGGAGGACGAGGACGACGAGTACGACGATGAGGATGCGGACCAGGCCCAGGGTAGGGGAAAAGGGAGAAGTAAGAGCAACGCACATAAAATCCTCACTCCACTCCAACGCAAACGTATGAAACTCCTCATCAAACCTCCCCCGGCGCTCCATGAGCCACCCGTACGTCTTCGCCACCGCGTTCAAGAACGTCGCGGGCCCCCAGTTGAGCGAGGAGCGGACGTAGTTGATGCCCCTGTAACACACAATTAGCGTCAGCGTCATTCCTTTTCAAGTCATTGCATGCAAAGCGGGGGGGGAGCAACGAGAGCAAGGGGAGCGACAGGTTGGGCAGAAGGGGCAAGAAGGAAAAGTAGCAGACACTCACTGCTTCGGATACTTCGGCCCATTCCCCCGCGCCTCCATAATATCAATCTCCCCGCTGAGCGGCCACGGCCCGTACGCGCTGTCGACCGGCAGCATCCAGATCGCGGGCCAGAGCCAGTCGCCGGTGGGCAGCTTGGCGCGGACTTCGACGCGGCCGTACCTGGTGTGTCCTTGTTAGCATGTATTCGAAAGCTGAGAGGATGCGAAAGAAGAAGGGGGATGCGGGCAAAGGAGCGAAGGGTGGGGGGAGAAACAGGAAAGGCAGGGAAGGAACCACACGCACTTAAGACTCGCACTCCTCCTCGTACTAATCCTCGCACTCATCACAGGCGGCAGGATGCGCCCCTGCGTCGCGTTCGAGACGGCCGAGCACGCGGCGAGGTACGCTTGCAGGTCGAGTGGGGTGTCTGGGGCTGCAAGGATAGGCGTCAGTTTACTGTGCATACGCAAAGGAGGATGACGAAGAAGGTGGCATGGCGGTAGTGAAGGAAGGAAAGAACGAGGAAAGAAGGAAGAAGGACTCACCAATCCCCCCCGCCCCCGCCCCCCCACTCTCAGTCGTATTAATCCCCGCGCTCCCATGCCCCTCGGTCGTGTACCCCGACGAGTGGGTGATGTTGTACGTGCAGTCGGTGAGGTTGTAGATCGCGCCGTCTGAGGGGTGAGTGTTAGTGTGGTGTGGTAAAAAAAGCGAGAAATAGACTTCGACTCACCCAAAATACTCCCCTCGGGAATAACCTCGCTCGTGAGCGTGGGGACGAGGTACAGCTGGTTGTTGTACACGAACGAGTTGGCGTCGCGCGCGGTCGTCATTTCGAATTCGCCGTTCCTGCAAGAAGCGCGGTGTTAGAGGGGTATAAGGAGGGTAGGAGGAGGGAGGAGGACGGGGAGCAGAGAAAATATGAGGGCAGCATGCGGAGGACGAGGAGCACCACCCGCGACACGACGACGCCCAGGCAACACGCGGGTCCCGCTCATCACATCAGTGAGCGAGTACGAGTCCGCAGCCACCGCCGCAGACGAGGACAAGGACGAGGAGCACCAGCCACGACGCGCGCCAACGGGACCTGCCGCGCCGTCCCCAGGTAATGATAGACCGTCCTCCGCCTCAGTGATCGCGTCCAAGCAGCGCCGCCTCAGCTGACGAGGAGCACGCACACCCGTGCCCGCCCACCAGTGAGCGCCGCCGGCCGCAGACGGGGCTCGTCCTGCTCATCACCCCAAATACAAGAAAAGATAATGATGATAACCGAAAGAAAACATCAAAAACTCACCCAAACCCACTCGCATCCACCTCCCTAAAAAAGCTGCCCCCCTCGCCCGCGACGCCGGTGCCAAAGAGCTGCGCGGTGGTGGTGGAGGAGAAGTCTTCGAGGAGGACGGGGCAGAGGGGGGCCTGGGGGGAGGAGCGAGCGTCAGCGAGCGGTAGATGGGTTTATTGGGCAAGAAGAATAGGGTATAGTAGAAAGACACGGGTGCGCGATGGACGACCACGAAGCACGAACGCGAAGCGCGAAAACACACTGTGGCGGCGGACACAGCAGGATGCGGGCGGAAGCACGAAGACGAGACGACGACGACGAAGCCATGACACGAGGCGGCGCGGAGGAGACAAGACAACGACAACTGCCCCCGGCGACGGCGGACGAAGCAGAAGCCCGGCGAGCACGACGAAGCCATGCCCCACGCGCTCCCTGTCCACAGTGACACGACGGTGACGGCCCCATGAGGATGCCCGTCCGCCCGACACGGGGAAACGAAACAGAAGCACTCTCGTCGAGGACCTGCGCTGGCGACGAGTACGGAGGAAGAAGCAAGAAGCACGCAAACGAAGGAGAGGCCGCCCTCGATACGACACGACACCCGCCCTTGAGACGGACTCCCTGACCGCCCAGACAGGAGGAAGCACGACGACATGACGCCCGACGAGGAAGCAAGTCCAAGCAAGGCAGACGAAGCACCAAGCGCCCCGCCTCCGCCGGCCGCCGAGGATCCGCACCACGAAGAACGAAGGAGGAAGGAGAAACGCGTCGTCGTCGTCGTAGAGAGGAGAGGATAAAAAACGACCAAAGATAAGCAAACACCCACCTTGAGCAGCATAACCCCCGTCCAGCTCGTGTATATGCGCGCGGCGCCGGCGGCGAGGCCTGGACATTCATGTTAGCAGGGTATTAGGAAGAGGGAGGGAAAGGAGGAAAAGATGTAAAGGGCAGGAAGGAAGGCGAGGACGCCGCCGAGAGAGATGACGCGGAGGACGCGCCCAAGTAGCAGCCGCGTCAGATGCGATGCCGACGCCGCGGACAACGCGCCCGCAAGGAAGAAAGTAGGCGTGGGAGAGGAAGGGAGCAGGGAAGGCGCGAAGGCAAGAAGGCGCGCGGCAAGAAGACGCCGACGACATCGCACCCGCGTACACGGGCGCCGCTGGGTACGCGCCCAACGGGACAGCGCGACCTCGACGTGAACGCGCCCCGCAAACAAGAAGAGGAAAAACCGCACGCACCCAAAAGCACAACCCCATAAGTAAGCCAATACGCCACCCTCGCCCTCCGGTCCCGTACCCCCACCCACGGCTTGGACAAAGCTGTTGTGAGGGTGGCGGAGGTGCCTATCTTGATGGGGGGTGTCTTGGTGGCGAGGAGGGTGGCGCGGTAGGATTCGCCTGTGGGTGCGTTAATAATTATGTTTTGATATTGGGGAGGAAGCAAGCAAGACGAGGAGAAAAGAGAAGGAGGGGCGAGGTGGAAGGCGGGGGTAGAGCGGAGCCGCCCAGCATCGCGGACGCGCAAGGTAAGGCGGACAGCAAGGCCGCGGCCAGAATTGGGGAGGCGGAGGGGGGAGGGAGGGAAGGGGAGGGAGTGGCAAGCAAAGCGATACGGGGCTCGGCACGACGACTCGGTCGAGGCCGCTGACGCCCGCGCGTAAAGTATGCATAACAGGAAGGGAACACAGCAACGAAGACCAGCAACTCACCCGCATCCCCCACAGCATGACTACTCGGCACCAACAGCGCCGTACTCTTCGCGCGGGCGCCCCTCGCGCGGAGGGACGCAGACGAAGGGGGCGGCGCGGCGTAGAGCGTCGTCGGGCGCGGGGGCGGGGAGGCGAACGCGGGCCTCACCCCTCCTTTACCCCCATTACCCGCAGTGTCGGTGCTAGCACCCGCGTTAAGCCCAAGCGGGGACGCAGCCGACGTCGGCCTCCCCGAGGACCCCCCGGTGCTCGGGCGGGAGCTCCCACCGCCACCGCCGATGGAGTACGTGGAGAACGCGCGCGGGACGTGCACGTCCACCAGACTCGACGCGCGCGTGCTCCCCGGGCTCGGGAACGGGTACCCTCCCCCTCCCCCACCTCCATTCGCATGGTGGAGCCCAGGCGAATCGAGCGTCGGCAGCGCCATCGGGGTCTGGAGCGGCGTGGAGGAGGGGGAGGCGGCGGAGAAGGAGAGGACGCTGGCTGGGGGGGAGAACGGATTGCTTGCGGTCCCGTTTGCGTTGGCGTTGGCGCCGTTGCCGCTGGCGTTGTTGAAGTTGGTGGCGAAGGAGCCGGGGGTGGCGAATGGGTTGGCGTTGGGGGTGGAGGTGGAGGTGGAGAATGAGTCGCGCGGGGGGTGCGGCGGGGTGAGGAAGCTGAGGCTGCGGGGCGTGTGCGGCGCGCTCCCGTGCTGCTGTTGGGTGGGCGAGGGCGGCTCCGAGGTGTCTGCGCCGGGGAACGTCGTCGTGTCCGCGCTGGCGCTGGCGCTGGCGTTGGGTGCGGCGGCGAATTGAAGCGGGGCGGGGCGTGCCATCGTGCGCGTCGTCCTATCCTAATGCAAGGCTATCCTAAGTCAAGCCTATGCGGGCTTTGAAGGTAGTAGGCAAAGTAGTCCAAGGAAGGAAGGGAGGGCAGGGAAGGGTAATATAAGCTGCCGAAGAGCCTTCCTTCCTTCCTTCAAAGCCTTGTACGCTTCCTTGGGTTGGGCGTGCATCGAGAATCGAGATCGAATCGAAATCGCGTCAATTCCGCACGCCACACCGCCGCCAGTACGTCCTGATACCATTTGCGTGCACGCTGTAAGAATAACTCTTTCTCGTGCCTATCAAGGGGCCTGTAGGCTGTCTGGATGCCGGGGCATACCAGTATCTCGAGATGGACGTCGGCGAAAGGAAGAAGGATGGACGTGGGAAGAACTTGAACACACGCAGCCACGGATGGAGATGGGTGCGTTGGATCCCGGAAATCCTGATCAGGTCGGGGTTCGGGAGCTGCTGGATTCAATTATGTGAGGAGCGGAGGAACTTCGGGCGCGGCTGATAGGCAAAAAAAAAAGCTTTCCAGGGGAAACCGACGACCTGACCCGGAGTCGAACCGGGGACTCCCACTGTTCAACTGATTTTGGTGTTTACAAACAAAGTGGGTGTGAACCATTCACTATCAAGTCTTCCTAGCTCTTTAATTACCCTAAATACATGGGCAAAAATTGCTAGGCAGGAAGCGGGACAAAAAACAAGAGCGGCGGAACACAAGACCTGACCCGAAATCGAACCAGGTACTCCCACTTCTGCTGCAAATGCCAGCAAACCGTATGGAAAGTGGGTGTGAACCATTCACCAGCAGGTCTCCCTCTCTCATTTCTCATCCTCAACAGATCATAGAGAATTTTGAGGTCAGGAGGTGGGAAAAAAGGAAAGAATTTTGAGTGACACAGCCAAGACCTGACCCAAAGTTGAATCAGGTGCTCCTACTGCCAATATTGTCCAATTTCGAGGCAGATAGGAGTGAACCATTCAACCCCAGGGGTAAAGAAAATTTAGATATACCGACACCCCCAAGACCTGACCCGGATCCGAACCAGGAACTCCCACTGTTCAACATGCAGGAATACTTCGAAGAAGAAGTGGGTGTGAGCCATTCACCAGCAGGTCTCTTTATCTTATTTCTCTTCCTCGGCAGACCGACAAGAATTTCTCGGAAGACAAAAATTGTGAGCATATGGCTGGCCTAAGACCTGGCCCGGAATCAAACTAGGTACTCCCATTTTCTATTCATTTCAGTTCAACACGAAAGGAAGATGAATGTGAACCATTCACCAGCAGGTCTTCCTACCTCAATTCTCATCCTCAGTAGACTGACAAGAATTTCTTGGAAGGAAGACAAAAATTGTGAGCATATGGCTGGCCTAAGACCTGCTCCGGAATCGAACCAGAAACTCCCATTTTCAATGCATGCTACACTCATTTTATGAAAGATGGGTGTGAACCATTCACCACCAAGTCTTCCCGCTATATTTCCTACCATCAACATACCAAGGACTTTGAGGCAGGAGTGGTGTACATGACACACAAAAAAAAGCTGGCTTTAGTATTTTATTGAAATTGGACCAGCAGGTCTTCATGCCTTCCTCCGGAATCTCAAAATGTACCTGTATTTTGAAACGGAGGAGGAGGAGGAGGATGGTATGAAACGGGAGGATAGGAATACAAGAAAGAGAAAAAGAAAAAGATCAGCAGTTTTCTCCTAGGACCTGACCCGGAATCGAACCGGAGATTCCCATTTCCCATGCATTTCAGTTCAACCCAAAAGGAAGATGAGTGTGAACCATTCACCACCAGGTCTTCCTGCCTCATTTTCAATGTTGTATACACGGGCAAAAATGACTGAACAAAAATAGCAGACACTACTCAGAGACACAAGACCTGACCTGACCTGGGGACTCCCATTTTCCAGCCACAGCGTGCTGTGCAGGTTGACAGGAAACTGAAGATGGGTGTGAACTATTAGAAGATCATGGAATATACTCTCAAATCTTTGGTAGGGAACAGTGCTTTTCAGTGGAGGAAAAAAAGAACTTTCTGAAAGACCCATGACCTGACCCGGAATCGAACCGGGACCTCCCATTTTCTACTGCCGCAGGAGTGCTTGAAGAAGAGTGGGTGTGAACCATTCACCAACAGATCTTCCTGCTATATTCCCTACTGTCAACATACCCAGGATTTTAAGGCAGGAAGAGTGACAAAAAGATCTTGACTGTTACGGTACACTAAGACCTGCCCCGGAATCGAACCGGGCCCTCCCACTGTTCAACCAAGTCATGCACTTCTAAAACAAAGTGGGTATGAACCATTCACCAGCAGGTCTTGCTCTTCCTGCCTTATTACCTGCCATGAACATATTCGGGATTTTGAGGCAGGAAGAGGGACAAAAAAATGTTGACATTGCTGCAATCCAAGGCCTGCCCCAGAATTAAACCAGGGATTCCCATTTCAATTGCAAGCCAACAATCATTTTATGAAAGATGGGTGTGAACCATTCACCACCAGGTCTTCCTACCTTATTTCTCATCCTCCACAGATGGACAACAATTTATGAGGATACTTAGAAGGTAGACAAAAATTGTGGGCCATTGCGCATCTCAAGACCTGCCCTGGAATCGAACCGGGACCTCCCATTTTCTACTGCCGCAGGAGTGCTTGAAGAAGAGTGGGTGTGAACCATTCACCAACAGGTCTCCCTACCTCATTTCTCATCTTCAATAGACCGTAGAGAATTTTAAGGACAGAAGGTGGGCAAAAAGGCGCATGGCTACAACATAAGACCTGCCCCGGAATCGAACCAGAGACTCCCATCTTCAATCGTGGCCATCTTCCAGGAAAGATGGGTGTGAACCATTCACCATCAGGTCTTCCTACCTTGTTTCTCATCCTCAGCAGACCGACAACAATTTCTGGATAGGAAGGTAGACAAAAATTGTTAGACCGTCGACCACCCAAAGTTGAATCAGGTGCTCCTACTGCCAATATTGTCCAAGTTCGAGGCAAATAGGAGTGAACCATTCAACCCCAGGAGTAAAGAAATTCAGATATACCGACACCCCCAAGACCTGACCCGGATTCGAACCAGGAACTCCCACTGTTTAACATGCAGGAATACTTCGAAGAAGAAGTGGGTGTGAGCCATTCACCAACAGGTCCTCTTGCTATATTCCCTACCTTCAACATACTCAGGATTTTGAGGCAAGAAGAGGACAAAAATGGCTGTTGCCCATGGCCAAGACCTGACCCGGAGTCGAACCAGAGACTCCCATTTTCAATTGCAATGCTACACTCGTTTTATGAAAGATGGGTGTGAACCATTCACCAGCAGGTCTTCCTAGCTCATTTGTTATGCTCTACAGACGGACAAGAATTATGGGCAGGAAGGCAAACAAAAGCTTTGAGCATGGAGCATAAGGACCTGCCCCGGAATTGAACTGGGAGCTTCCACTTCTGTTCAACTGTTTCAAATAGAACATATGGAGAGTGGATGTGAACCATTCACCATCAGGTCTTCCTACCTCACTTCTTATGTTGAACACATGGGCAAAAATAACCGGCAGGAGAGGGAACAAGAATGTCAAAAATGGCAGAAGTTAGAGGACCAAGACCTGACCCGGAATTGAACCGGGTGCTCCCACTTTCAAATGCAATTGACAGGTGCAAGGAAAAGTGGGTGTAAACCATTCACCAGCAGGTCTTCCTACCTTATTTCTCATCCTCTACAGATGGACAACAATTTATGAGGATACTTAGAAGGTAGACAAAAATTGTTGGCCGTTGCGCATCTCAAGACCTGCCCTGGAATTGAACCAGGACCTCCCATTTTCTAAACTCTTCAGTTCAACTCAAAAGGAAGATGAGTGTGAGTCATTCACCGCCAGGTCTTCCTGCCTCATTCCTCGTCCTCAACAGACTGACAATAATTGCTGGGCAGGAAGGTGGACAAAAATGAAAGATTTGCCCAGTTAAGACCTGACCCAGAATCGAACCGGGAGCTCCCATTTCTACTTTCAAGGGAATATATGAAGAAGAGCAGGTGTGAACCATTCACCAACAGGTCTTCCTGCTATATTCCCTGCCTTCAACATACCCAGGATTTTGAGTGTACAGGACAAGAAACAAAAGCAGACTTCAGCATCTTATCAGAATTGCCCTCAAGGTCAAAATTCAAATAAGCCATATACCCGCAGGACTTCTTGTCTTCCTCCGAATTCTCAAAGTGTAGGTGTATTCTAGGAAAGGGAAAAAAGCGGGATTCCAGTTCAACGACCTGACCCGGAATCGAACCAGGAACTCCCGCTGTTCAACAGATTTGGAATTGTCCTTCACAAACAAAGTGGGTGTGAGCCATCCACCAGCAGGTCTTCCTGCTCTATCTCTGCTATTAACATACCTAGGATTTTGAGGTAGGAGTGGTGTACATGAAAAGAAACAAGACACTCTTATCAGAATTGCCCTTCAAGTTCAGATTCCAATGAACCATCCACCAGTAAGACTTCTTGACTTCTTCCGAATTCTCAAAGCGTAGGTTTATTCTGAAACAGAGTACAAGAAAGGGAAAAAAGAGGTGTTCCTCATCCAGGACCTGACCCGGAATCGAACCAGGAACTCCCATTTCAAAATTGCCTCTCGCTCATCCTTCAGGAAAGATTGGTGTGAACCATTCACCAGCAGGTCTCCATACCTCATTTCTTAGGTTGGATACATGGGCAAAACTAACTGGCAGCGAGGGAACAAAAATGGCAAAAATGGCAGAAGTTAGAGGACCAAAGCCTGATCTGGAATCGAACCGAGGACTCCCACTTTACTTCACGTGTGATATCTAAAGAAGAGTGGGTGTGAGCCATTCACTAGCAGGTCTTCCTATGTACCTTATTTCTCATGATAGGTAAAGGCCGACAAGCGGCGGGGCACAAATAGAACAATGGAGGCTGGGGATGTGTTTTAGTTCTTATCCCCAAAGAAGAGATGTAGGTTAGTCTCTCGCAGACAGACGCTACAACATTTATCTTGTACCTCGTTAGTTGTAGATGTAGGTGTTCATTATTTGGTATGCGATGTACAATTTTTCTTTTGCGCGAGTCCGACTCCACCTTATTGAATTTTATCTGCTCGGAACTCTCGCGCGACCCGTCCCTCGGTCGACTCAAGTCCCTTGTGCATCCCCTCTTTGTTTCTGGTACGGAAACCGGACAACCGACTCGGTTGATTTGCTCAGAACTCTCGCACGACCTCGTCCCTCGGTCGGCTCGAGTTCCTCGCGCGTCTTCCTGGGACCAAAGAGAGGAAGAGGAGTCCAGCATTGTTGGAAGAAATGCAGGGTCAAAAATCAATGGGAAGGTGCCAAACCAACCCTGGACATTATCTCGCTCCTCCTCAAAGTCTATAATGATATACAAACAAGGGGCATAATCCCGGGTACGGGATTTACCAGAGGCTGGATGTGCCCCATATACAAGAAGAAGGATGTCACTGACATCGCGAACTACCGGCCGATAACCGTACTCAACACGGATTATAAAATTCTCACTAAGGCCATGACAACTAAACTCTCCGGCGTCGTCTCAAGTCTTATACACACAAACCAGGCTGGATTTATGAAAGGCCGCAAAATTTCGGACCAAATCTTCCTGGCCATGGAGATGGTTGAGTACGCGGAGGACGAACTGGGAAACGGGGCAATATTAGCCCTAGACCAAGAAAAGGCCTACGACAAGACCTCACACAGATACCTGTGGGAGGTCCTGAGGCATGACCATATTCCTGAAAGTTTCATCAGAACGGTCCAAGCCCTCTACGCCGACGCCGAAACTCAGGTTGTAATAAATGGAGTACTTAGCTCCTCCTTCCGCATTATCAGAGGGTACGCCAAGGCGACCCCTTGTCATGTCTGCTCTTTAACCTAGCCATTGAACCTCTCGCGTCAATGCTGCGGAAATCGGACCTCCAAGGCTACCAAATCAAACGGGTCAAAGACAAAATCATAACCACGTTATTTGCCGACGACACGACAGTGTATCTCTCAGCGCGGGACTCATTTGCAACGGTTACCCACATACTAGAACGCTGGTGTAGAGCCTCCAGCGCCAAATTCAACGTTGGGAAGACAGAAATCATACCTATAGGCTCCGAAGAATTCAGACAATCCCTGATTACGACGAGGAAACTCAACGACAATGATGATCCCATTCCGGAAAACGTACACATAGCGATTGACGGGGAGTCGGTACGCATACTGGGGGCTAGGGTCGGAAACGACGTCGATATAAATGCAGTCTGGACGCCCGTGATCGAGAGAATCGACACGGAGCTAGAAAAATGGAGCCGTCAACACCCTACTTTGGAGATGAGGAAAAATATATGCCAAGTGACTTTTGGTTCAATAACCCAATACTTGACGCAGGTGAATGGGATGCCAAAGAACGTTGAGAAACAGCTGACAAAGATGCAGTGTGAGTTTATGTGGAACGGCTCCAAATCCTCACCGGTCTCAAGGGACACCCTCCTCGCACCCATAGCCGAGGGGGGAAAGAATCTCTTCGACCTGGAAGCTAGGAACGAAGCCCTGCAAATTATGAAGCTCAAAAGCTACCTGGAGCTGGATCCAGAGAGGCGAGCTGCGTGGGCTGCAGTAGCAGACGCAACCATCGAGAGAAACGACAAACTCACCTCGAACGTAGCACCAGGCTCGCACGTCAACACCTTCCTCCAATCATGGGCCCCGAAGCGGAGTGGACTCCCGACCCGCCTGAAAGACATGATCAATACTGGAGTGAAATACGGCCTTGTGTTTGACACACCTGAACCCTCAGTGGACCTCAGGAAGAAACTCCCACTGTGGCATCCTTTCAGCGAGGACCGAACGAAGAGAAGAATAAATAATACGACACCGTGCAAATGCCTAAGGCACAACCACCGTGTTTTCAACGTCGGAGACGCGATCCGAGCTGCGGAACGACTCGGAAATCCGGATCACATAACGGATAAGACGTGCATGTGCTACGACTGCGTGGAGGATCGAAATTTCAAGAACTGTAAAAATCCACACAGTTGCGCAAAAATGGCAAGACAAAAAATCGACTCACTCGTACCCAAGTGGAACCCAAGCACGGACTACCCAGACCGTCAAGTAGCAGAGGAAACCGAGGGAGACAGCCACTCACACACCTTTACGGGCCCGCAGGAGATATCAACACTCACGGATGGTTTCCGTATCTTCACGAGAGATAAAACAGAGGCAGAAGCGTACCTACCTATCGCGAGCCTAAGGGACCGCATCCCAGGCAATCAGGTCATAGTGTCCGTTGCCGGGGTAGCCAGAAACGCTGGAACGGCTGACGCAATAGCCGGTAGCGGGGGTTGGTTTGGCCACGACCTCCAAAATATATCTTTGAGACTCCCAGAGGACACACCCCAGACGGCGTCAAATGCCGAGGTTATAGCGACGATAGGCAGCCTGAAGCAAGCAGGAAAGCAGACAGAAGTGATCATTGGGAGCGGGAGCCGCAAGATGATGACGACCCTCAAGACAAACCTCCCTAAGTGGGAGGACAGAGGCTGGATTGGGGTTCCAGAGAGAAGGCCCATCCAAGCTCTTGTAGCTGAGCTGCGAGGCAGAATAGCCAAAACCACCTTCACCGTCGTCGAGGAGTCTGAAGGGAAGGAGGAAGCCGCAAACCTAGCAGCCGGAAGCGAGAAGTTGATCCCCGGGATCTTTGATCTCCGGACTCCCCCGCAAACGCAACACAGGGGCGCGAAACTCTCAACATTGACCCAGTCCTCAGCCTACAGAGGGATAAGAGAGCTGAAGAAGCACCCAAACCGGAAAACCACTGACGAAATTATTGAGATCACGCAAGACGCGGTCAAGCAAGTGTACGGCAGCAGGCCCACCGCGGCCGCCATCTGGAAATCCATCCGTAACCGGGACATATCCCGTCAAGTCCGTAATTTCTGGTGGAAGACACTGCATGGGGCCCACAGAATTGGCAAGTTCTGGCTGCACATCCCAGAGATGGATGACCGTGCAAACTGCCAGCACTGCGGAGTGTTGGAAACAATGGAACATATCTTGGTTGAATGCCCCCGCCCCGGCCGGGCAGAAGTCTGGGCACTCGCGGAGAAGCTATGGGCGCAAAAGCACCCAAATTGGCCCCAAATATCCCTGGGGAGTATTCTCGGCGCAGGTCTTGCTACCTTCAAGAATGAAAACGGGAAAACTCTCCCCAACACGGCCCGACTATATCGCATCCTCATCTCTGAATCCATGTATCTGATATGGAAGTTGCGGTGTGAAGTCGTCATCGCCGAGGCCGGCGTGGCGAAGTCCGCCACTGAGATCCACAACCGGTGGGTCGCAATAATGAATGAGAGACTGGAAATAGACAGAACTCTCACAAACCGCGCGCGTTTTGGGAAAGTTTATTCCCTCGCCCCCTCCATGGTCCTCGATACCTGGAAGGGAACCTTGCAAGACGAGGAAAAGCTGCCAGACAGGTGGCTGAGTGAACCCGAGGTTTTAGTGGGTATCGCGCCGATAAGATCGCTTAGATCACCGTCTTCACCCGTTGGGAGACGAGGCCGGAATAAATAACGACGCGGAGTCCCACACTGTTGCAGAGCGCATCGTGCGTAACACATTTCCTCGGGGGTGGAAACCCCTACACTCATGGGAGGTCCTAGATCCTTCTCTCTTACACGGATGGGGGAGGCTAATCCGTTATTAGTTGTCCCTCGTCTGGCTACGTACCACCAAAAAAAAAAAAAAAAAATCAATGGGAAACAAATTGGCCAGGTAGTTTGGACGGGGGCAAGAGCGGAAGATGGTTGAATGGATTTAAACTGGGATAATTTGAAGGTTGGGTGACCGAGATTACGTGGCAACTGTGTAGATGCCCCGTGATCAAGCTCATCACTAGTATCTGGCCAAGGATGAGGACGTCGGAGGCGAAGCCGTAGAGCGGTAGGTGGCTCTTGGTGAAGTGGTAATTTGGACGAGCCAGCTGGAAGCCGAAGCGAGCCGAGGTGATAGAGGCCATGAGGCCGCTTATATAAGCCATTTTGGGCGGACATTTTCGGTGCTCCAGAGCATAAACAGAACTAACGTTCTATTTGTGAATCTTCAGCAGACTGACAAGAATTTCTTGGAAGGAAGACAAAATTGTGAGCATATGGCTGGCCTAAGACCTGACCCGGAATCAAACCAGGTACTCCCACTGTTGAACCTGCGAAAGTGCCTGAAGAAGATTGGGTGTGAACTGTCCACCAGCAGGTCTTCCTGCTATACTCCCTCCCTTCAACATACCCAGGATTTTTAGTGTGCAGGACAAGAAACAAAAGCAGACTCAATATCTGTTATCGGAATTTCTCCCATGTTCAAATTCAAATGAACCATACACCAGCAGGTCTTCCTACCTCCCAAACTCCGATTCCCAATAGTTACCTGTATTCTAAAACCAGAGGATAGGAATGCAAAAAAGAGAACAAGACTGACATATTCCTCCTAGGCTAGGACCTGATCCAGAGTCGAACCAGGACTCCCATTTCCAAACTCCTCCATTTGTACAAAGTGTATTGGTGTGAACCATTCACCATCAGGTCTTCCTACCTCATTTCTCATCCTCAGCGGACCGTAGAGAATTTTGAGGTCAGAAGGTGGGCAAAAAGGAAATGTTCTCATGGCTACAACACACAAGACCTGACCCGGAATTGAACCAGGTGCCCCTACTGCCAATAAATCCAAATTCAAGAAAGATGGGCATGAACCATTCACCACCAAGTCTTCCTGCCTCATTTCTCATCCTCAACAGACTGACAGCAATTTCTGGGCAGGAATTGAACAAAAATGGCAGACATGTAGAGGCACAAGACCTGACCCGGAATCGAACCAGGATCTCCCACTTTCAAATGGGATGTTATCAGCAAGTAAATGTGGGTGTGAACCATTCACCAGCAGGTCTCTTTACCTTATTTCTCATCCTCGACAAACCAACAAGAATTTCTGGGCAAGAAGGTGGATAAAAAATGTTGACATTGCTGCAATCCAAGACCTGACCCGGAATCGAACCGGGAACTCCCACTCTCTACATAGGGCCTGACCGAAATGATAGTAGGGGTGAACCATTCACCATCAAGTCTTCCCGGCCTGTTTCTTTGGCCTCAATGCACTCAACAGAATTATAAAAGAGGAGTGAGAAGGAAAATATATAACATCAAGACAGAGTTTTTACAACCTGACCCAGAATCGAACCGGGAACTCTCAGTCTCACTTTCTAGTGGTCACCACAGAGCTAGGTGTGAACCATTCACCAGCAGGTCTTTCCTCAACCTCCACAGCCTGACAGGAAATTAGAATTACAGGGAGAGAAGGTAGTGATGTGCCAGCTTGGGCCTGTTTTGGTCCGGCCTGGCCCCCCTCGAAGCAAAGGTCGAGCCCGAAAGTCCTGGCTTCTGGTTGAGTGGGAGTAATTATAAGAGGATATGAAGGCTCAGTATTCATTCTTGCCTAGTGAAGACACTCATAGCTTGCTTGAGGTGCCGAATCTCCAACACAAATCTATTGTTTCTGACCGGTTTTGAACCTTCGGCAAACTGATGCCGAAGGTTCCCACGGTTTAACTACCCAACCTTGTCGATACAATCGCGCCGGCTATGTGGTTAAGGACCAAGATACAACAATTATGAGAAACTCTGGAAGGAAACCAGTCACAAATCATCTCAGAGCTATTTTTTTGCTTCTTACCGGTCACCCAGGACTCTGCCAAAAAATACCACCCAAAGCCCCGACTCGAACCAAAGCCGAGCCAAAGCTGAGCCAGACATTGGGGGCACGACTTGGTCTGGGATTTTGGCGAGCACAAGCCGTCAATTAGGGGCCGAAGCCGGGGCTTTCAGGCCAAGCCCGAGCCGGCACATCATTACGAGAAGATGGGCAAAAAATTAGAATTGCAGACGTTGCAGGCGCTCCGAGACCTGGCAACAATGGGCATACTGTGTGGCAGGGTAAGTTTCCTCAAGCCTACAGTGGGTACCTGTTCGATGTGGTTGTGTTGAAAGGCCGAGATCAAGCCGGCATCTTTGTCAGCGTACTGGAAAGGTAACAAGCACAAAGCAAACATCGTCTTCTCGAATCTCCGCCACCTGGAAAAAACGCCCTGCCCGCTTGGCGACTGAAACTCCATCCTATCTTTGTGGATTACCCTCGCCTCAAGCTACATGATTGCCACATTGGCGAGCTGGAACGTGGCACTGGTCAGCGGGCCCAAAAACTCCGAACTCGAGTCAAACTTGGTCGAATATCTGGTTTCGCTGGTAAATCCCCTCGGGGCCCATGGAAATGCCGTCTCGTACGTGTATCTTTATCTATCCCAATATTTTTGGGCTCAAAACCTCCTCAAGCGAGGGGATCGATATGAAAGTTTGGCCCTTCTGCGATTTTCTATCGCTTCCCACTGATGGAATCCCTCGCGGATGAACGAACATCAACCTCGGGCTCTACAGATACTTTACTTCTTCTGAGGTCCCAAGATCGCGGTCAACTTCCTCGCATCGCCCACTCATACCACGAATGCAATAACCTTCACCGAAGAAACCTGGCTACTTATTTGTTCGGACCCACGATACAGACTCGGTCACCTCTGTACCCGTATGAACTGTCCAACCAGGGGCTGCTATGTAATACGATGGCACCGGAGCGATAGAACAGGTCGCCTCGCGCTAGAATCCCTCTCGCGCTGTACAGACGCCCCGATAAACTGGCGAATATCAACCAGAGATATCCGTTCGCCGCCTCCGCTTCTCGGTTCCCACTCCACAACCACGCTCTCCGAGCAAGATAATCATAGCGCGCCCCTGGTGCCTATCGCGCCGACTCTCACGCCCGGGACCCGCCGTCTTCTGTCCGGTAGGTTCCATTGGACTAGGAGTACAATGGCACGGCGCTTCGTTTGATGCACAAGGTGCAGTGATCCCCTATCGTCGGTCCTTCCTTTTCAGCTTCTGTCCGCGTCTCCGGTGTACACTCCTGTCGCACCGCCTTAGCGGATCTCTTTCGGCGATTCTAGTCTATTTCTCCAGTAATTAAACCAAGTACCCAGCAGAGCAAGGAGCAACCGAGAAAGATTGGGTGGGGTGTTCTCGGTGAGTTCAATCAGGCATTTTACTCTCCCCGCTAGTACTAACTAACTCGGCGCGCAGGCGGCGAACAGCGCGTAATGCATGCGCTCATCGCGAACATCAGTTACTCAGTGTGTTCGAAATGCGTCCGCTGCAGATACGAATGCTCGGCCTCATGGAAAATCAAGGAAGGTCTGGCCCAATGGGCAACAGTGCAAGATGCCGGATATCCTAGCTGGAATTCATCCTGATTCTGATTCAGGAGACCGCGGACAGGCGGCGAACCACAGCGACGGCGATTCGTCCATGCACCCAGTATGATTCCGACCAGTGCGGTTCGATTTGAGACGTCCTTCGGTCCCCTCGGTGAGTCGTGTTCAGATCGCTGGACGCAGTGATGAAACACTGGCCAGTGCAGATTCGGAGCCGTTGTAAGTAGCTCAACTGCTGAATGGATGTAACTATGTAACTATCTCGTTAGCCCGTCTCCTTTCCTTGGGACGACCACCATATGAGGACTTGCGTACCAATCAAGGATCGCCGCAATCAAAATATATTCGCTCGCCCATCTCTCCATCTACAGGATGAATGGATGCAGAGTCTCTGAGTCTGTGCTTGATACCGATGCTATCTCCATGCACGAACCCCCGACCAATTCTCTGATTCCTCGTACAGGTATGTTTCAATGCAGATTGCTTACACCCGTGGGGAATCGACGTATTATTTTACCTTTCGCTCTCACTGCCTGCCTGCCGCGTTCATGAATCCCAATCCCGAACAGCCACAATCCTCCCATCGCCTGGCCGAACAATCACCCGCCAACCGAGAATCCTGGCCAGGCACCTCGGTGGGATTTGGGGAGCCCACGTTCCGTGCTTGCGTGCGATTCAATTGAGATAGGCGCACAGAGATAGGTGGGAAGGAAGGAAAGAAGGAGATCTACTGGAAGACGGCGAAGCGAAGGAGGCTTCTTGATGCTCCCGGCTGCGCGATTCTCGGGATGGTGGCAGCATGCCAGGCGCAATCGGACTCACACGCCCCTGGGTGCGTAAAACGTATTATGACTGCGGCGGCGAGCTGAAGTTCAATCTTAACGCGACGCAGGCCATATTGATTTTTTTTTTTGATACAGACAAAAACAGAAATTATCAGCCAAGACGTGGATGAAGCTAGGGAACCAACGAAGAGGCGCAACGGGGCGTAAATAATGTTTGATCTAGTATGGGCCGTATGTATCTCATTGCTTTCCAAAAACTAAGAAATCAAACCACAAGAAATCGCACCAACACCGGATCGATTCGTACGCGGCGTACTCCGCACCCTGGATGCCCCGAGCTCCCGTCTCTCCTCCAACTCAGTACCTGGCTGGCCCTGGCATGAATTAACCTCTGTGCCCGCCTCGACCGAAGAAAACAAACTTGACACTGGCAGCTGCAATGATTCGATTCGGAACGGCTCTTCCTCGGCCGCTCTCACGCAGGCTGGGGATCCCGGATCGACGCAAGAGACACTTGGGATGGAAGCGTCAGTCGGTACGAACAAGTGGCAAGTGTCGCTGGGAACCTGGGCCGGTGATCCTGCACGCCAGATCTCCGTGTCTGTGCCTAGCTGCCTCTCAGGATTTTCTTAGCATGTACCTCACCGGGCACCATGTCAGTCAGATTTTCCATCCCCTGGAAAGCGGAGCCGCTGCGGTTCGATTGATTTTAGGACGCGCGGCGGCGACTTGAATATATTCATGTCAAGGTACAGACCTTACTTCCACCGCGACTCAGGCGTAATGCAGAATCTGCCGAATGACGGTTAAATTCAACTTCGAAGCCTGTACCTCCGTCGCGCTGTAACGCGTTCTCATACCCGTCCACTCGCTCCCGAGCTCGGGATTGGCTGCGAGCCAACTTCGTGGGTCCCCCTGCCAGTACTGGTGATCTGCAGCGTTGCGCGAGATTGCGTCAGGTTTAGCAGTTCGGGCTTTTCGGGTGGATGGATGAAACCTTGTCATTGGACGTGTCGGCGCCTGCGATTAAGCGTGTGTCCCTGATTTTCAGCCTCTTTCTCGGTTCGGAGGCAGTTTTTCCGATTCGATTTGGAGTCTTCAGCAGTTCGGGCTTTTCGGACTGCGGCTTGGGTTGAGTTGAAATTCTGACAGCTTGACGCGTCGGATTGGGCATTTCCGTAGAAGAACGTGGGTCCCGGGCGCTCGCTCCCGAGTTCGGGATCCGTTGAAAGTCACGACCTGCAACATTGGGTTGAACTTCACCAGCATCGCGCCTTTTGAATAGCCTGGGTTAAGGTTGGGAAGGGTTGACGCGGCTTCTTGAACCTAGCTGAAAACCGTGGGTCCCAGTCAAATCCCTCAGGCCGTTTGCCGGGCGGCGTTGCGTCAGCTCGCGCTTTTCGGACGCTCGTTGGGTTGAAATCTGTTGAAATTCTGAATCCGGCCGCATCTCCGAGTAAGTTAAACTTGAAGAACGTGTGTGGGTCCCCAGCGAACTCCGGGTCGTTTTCGGGGTGTGTTCGTGCGTCCCCGATTTACACCTCGCAATTTCCATTTTCATTGACTTCCCAACACACATGGACCTTCTTCCCTGCCATTTAGGATTAACTCGAAACACCGCTCCCCCAATCCGGATATTTCTAAATACCGACCTGCCGCAAGGAGACAGGTGGGTGGAGATTGTACACACACTAATTCCGCTGATCTGATACTTACTGGCGGCGGTGACTGACTGACTGACGTTCAAACGTCAAGAGTAAGTCTGCATCGGGGTTGGGAATTAAAATCAAATTACTACCCACGGCCAGATGGACTTGCAGGAGAATTCCTCTTGCGTTGAGTATGTA